TATATATATATATATATATATATATATATATTGACTTAAAATAAAATATTTATTATTTATTACATTAATTGGGTAAACATACATTCTTGCAATTGAGGCACTTATTTATTTTTGTTATTGATGATAAATTATATAGAAAGTCATTTTAAACTATATTGAGAAAACATGTGATGGGAAGACTCAAAGTCTCTTTTCTTCTAGATTATTTTTTTATTGTTATTCTCATCTTTATAATTTTGTGTGTAAGAATGCTATTATGATGCTATTAGAGGACTAGTTTCTAGGAACGTGTGTTGCATGTTAGCCCCATAATTATTATAAAATTTCTACATGTTTTAAAAGTTTTAACTTATGAAATAGAAAATATTATTTTCCCTGTCCAACAATATTTGTTCAGTATTTTTTTATTTTACACATTTTTTAAGAAACTATATATAGAAGGGTAGTTTTACTATATGACCATTTGAATATAATAAATACAATGTCTTAAAAAATGTAATAAGAAAATAACTATAATTAATTATAAGAGTAAAAAGTAGGAACTAAGTGTAAAAGTATACATTGATTTTATAAAGTGGACAAATATTGATGAACATCCCAAAAATAATATAGTGAACAACAATTGTTGAATGGAGGGAGAAAAATCAAAATGTTGCAGATTTTACTATTTGAATTTATTCATTAAAAACACAATTAGTGGGACGATATAATAGCCTCATATAGTATGCAAGTGAATTCTTTCTTTAAATTTAATAAATGCATGTAAAAATATTTAACAAATTTACTAGAAAAATATGAAAAACATATATATTATTACAAAACCCCAAATAGAGTATAAATAGGACTGTATGTTTAGATCTAGAAATGCTTTATCAGATTAAGTGAAATATAAAATTAACTTGCAGTACCTAATAAAATATTCCTCTTTTCTCAGCCAAGCAAGCATTTTACGTAAAGATGACACTTCAATGTTTTTATCCTCGTAGTCTCTAAAATTCAAAGAGGATAATAATTTATGAAATAACTAACAAAACTCTAGAATGAGATTGAAAGTGTAACACCAAAGTGACAAAAGAAAAAGATACATTTTCATTTTATAACAATTAAAGCATAAGTCATCGACGGCCTCTTAAAATTGTCCACGTATCTCACTTAGACACCTTAACTAAGTCTAGTACCTATTGAATACTTTTACCTATTCAAAAATTGTTCCTATTAGACATTTTTCGATAATCAGCAAAAGAATTTGAAGAGTGTGTGATACACTTGCACTTGCACTGACATGGTAAAATGACTAATTAAAAAATAACATGTGGCACTTGGCCCCCAAATTTATAGAAAAAAGTAATTTTTTGTTTGAATAATAATAATAATATAACAACAACAACAACAACAACAATAATAATAATAAGGGAAATCTTTTGTGGAGAAGTTGTGGAAGTGTTTGATAAGATATGTTGAATTTATGAATGAGGAGGCTTTGGAGAAGAATTTTGAAGTTTCTAGGTGTGAGAGTTGCAACTACTCTGTTGTTGTTAGCTTATGTCTTACTTTGTGGTGGACATATGGAATGGCCATTGGATTTTGGTTATGACTTAAGTTTGATTTTTTCATCAAGGATTGTTGAATGATGAATTTTAGCTATCTCAAGTGTATTGTCTCTGCTCTTTTAGTTGTTGTATTTGATTTTTGTATTCTAGGTTGAGTATGATCATGGTTTTGGTAAGAAAACATTGAGGGAAATGTCTACTTCAGTTAGCTTTATCAATCTGTTGAATACTGTTTCTGTTTCATATTACTTGACCCCTAATTACATGACACATTTCTTGTGAAAATTTTATTATTAATGACCCTGATTTTTTGTGATTTGATTACTTGTTTAAATTCTTTCTTAATTCACTCTTCTGATTGATTTACTTGTTTAATTCATAATAGATTCAATTTTAATTCAATCTGTAGAACACTCTCTCGTCGTTTCATTAGATACTTGTTTAAATTCTTTCTTAATTCACTCTTCTAATTCAATTTTAATATAGTGTAATACACTTTTAATGCAAGTTTAATTCATTTTAGCAGTTTGTTGGTTGATTTATTATGATTTGATTTCTTGTTTAAATTATTTCTTAATTCACTCTTCTGATTTGCTTGTTAAATTCATAATAGATTCAAGTTTAATTCAATCTATAGAATACTCTCTCATCGTTTCATTAATTACTTATTTAAATTCTTTCTTAATTAACTCTTCTGATTCAATTTTAATATAGTGTAATGCACTTTTAATACAAGTTTAATTCATTTTTGTAGTTTGATGGTTGATTTGTTATGATTTGATTACTTGTTTAAATTCTTTCTTAATTCACTCTTCTGATTGATTTGTTTAATTCATAATAGATTCAAGTTTAATTCAATCTATAGAACACTCTCTCGTCGTTTCATTAGATACTTGTTTAAATTCTTTCTTAATTCACTCTTCTAATTCAATTTTAATATAGTGTAATACAAGTTTAATTCATTTTTGCAGTTTGTTGGTTGATTTGTTAGGTTTCAGTTTGGTTCGTTCTTTGTTCTAAATTTTTTTCGAGTGTGTTGTTGGTTTACTTTGGTACTAATTAAGTCTCCACGTGTACCATAACTCCTAAGAAACAAGTGACCTACACAAAAAAAGGCAAGACCAAATTTGTGGCACCGACATTTCGGCTAATTGATGAAGATACTGATGCTGAGAAGGATCCCGCTTATGTCCCGCCTGCCACCAGGACATCCCCTACAGCACCCGCACTACTCGGAATTAGTCCAAGCAGGTGGTTTTTGACGAAGTCACTACCTCCCAATCTCTGATGAGGATGATACATTGATCGGATCACCGACTTTTTCTGCTTTCGACTCGGAGTCTGCCTTGGTCTCCGATTCTGCTGCTGGGTATGATTCCGTCTCCGTATCCGGCTCTGGTTCACATGGGAGGACAAGCTCATCTGATGAGGCCTCTAGTACGGGGGACATTACCATACCACCTAGCATTGTGCCCGCTTCAGTTGGGGAGGAACCAAATAGATGGTGCGTAGATGGTCAATGGCAGATATATGGGGTGGAAGGATAATCAATAGGAAAAGAGGCAAGCTCGTTTAGTATCTAAGGAGCGTCGGGTTCTTACGGGCAGCTTGCACATCGCTCCCGCTATTCAGGAGGTTTTATAGTGAGGCCCGAAGTCTAGGGTCTTATAGTGAGGAGTGTTTTACTCGAAAATATAAATAAAAGAGAAATGACCAAGTTTTTGAAAAATCGACTAAACTTATAGTTTGAAGAGAAATCGATTTCCCAAAAGAAACAGAGTCGCCACTTAATTTTTAGTAAAAAGTCAAGAAAAACTGAAGGTTTTCAAAAGACCTAAAGAGATAAAATCAATTGAAAAAAAAAAGGTTCGAGTTCAATGTACATTCTGAGAAGGTGTTAGGCCCTCGGAATGCACGCTAACTTGCGGTTGACCGACAATTTGACTAAAATGACTTCGACTAATTTTTGGAAAATATTAACTAAGTAAGAAGACTCATTTTTTATTACTATTTTTTATTTGTCTATTTATTATTATTATTATTATATTTATTTTTACTAAGTAAAAGAACTCATTCATTTTTATCTAATTATTTATTTATTTTTTATTTTATATTATTAATTATTTTAAAGGGGAAATAAACTAAGAGGGATCATTCTAAAGGGAATAATTTAAAAGGTGCTAGTCAAGCTAAAAGAACATAAGTAAAACTAAGTGATAAGTAAAAAAATATAAATATATTTAAATGAAGGATAAGAAACTAAGAAATGACTTTTCTTCGGGAGTTTAATTAAATAAAAACCAAAAACAAATAAAAAGGTTAGAGAGTTATACAAATGAATAAATAATAATAAAAGAGGATGGTAAAGAATAAAAATATAAACTTGGACTCTTGTCCAACCAAACTTTTCTCCTCCTGTCCTAACTAAAAAAATTGCCATAATTGGGCTTGGCCCATTTAGATTAAATCTGCTGATATCCATTGAGCCTTTGGGCCCATTTTCGTCCCTGTATCAGTCATTTACCATTTTTGCATATCACTGTATATCAGTGTATACAGTAGTTGTATACCAGTGTATACTGCTGTATACAACCCATTTGGAGCTTTTTCTGAGACTTTCCATATGTCTCCAACCTGTACGTCTACCCCCGATGGCCTGGCTGACTCAAGAGGGGAAAAAATGGAGCCTTAATGGCTCAACTCGGAAATGCAAAGAGGAGATGTCCACCATGGACTCGATCCAAGGGAAATCATGCAAAGAAGACAAGATGATGACAATTAGGACATGAAGAAAGATCATAACTACTTAACACAATAAAAAAAAAGGTGCAAACATGAAAACGAAACACGAATTCCAGATTAGGCATGATATAATTTAGATGACCAACTATTGTGCAACTTGGCTCCAAGTTCTGGGCATAATCGATAAAAATTTAATTGAAGTGCCAACAAAACAACACCAAAACAGTGATCAAGCTTACTAAGTATCTGCTAATGCGAATTTGTCACAAAAAAAAAACTCAAGTAAAGAAATCAAACATAAATCCATAAATATCCAACTTATTCCTAAAACAAACTATTATGACAAAATCCAAGCTATCAAACAGATTGATACAAAATTTAGCTAAGTAAGATGAAGTCAACAAAGTGTCTTCACAACATCATTTGCCAAAAACTTTCACAATGAAAACTAATGCAAACCCAACAGTAATAATACAAAATAAAATAAATCTCATACCAAAGCTAAAAGAAAACTTTTTAAAAAATGCATACTGTGCACCTTAAATTGCTACCTGAACAACATATACCTTAGAAATTCAAAACATTTCTATGAAAATCTTTTTAGTACAAGCAACAAATAAATATATGTATCGATATGAGATGCCGAGAAGTTCATTTTTAGGCTACAACAATTTTCATTTCTCAAAGAAATTCAAAATCGATGCACCTTTATCGAGCATGATCTCCAAATAATCCATACATCAAACTCAAGCAGTGAATACAACAAACAATGTGAAGAGGTGTAACAAGTCACTAATTATAACACTTGAAATCTGGAAGAAAATTACTACTTAAAAAAATGGCAAAACGGAACACACATCATCAGGAAAGAAAGAACGAAAAGCAAGAACAAGAGTATTACCTTTTCTTGAGCAGTGACTCCGGGACTCGAGACTCCGAAGACGATTCCACCACCACCCTTGAACTCCGGCGAGCTCCGAGAAAAAGCTCGGAAGAACAAAAAATAAAATTAAAAACTAGGGGTCAAAGTTTTGTGGATTCGGTGTTATAAGAATAATGTTCTTTTGACTAAAATCGTCCTCCCTCCTCTATGTTTTCCAATATTTCTTCCAACCCTGATCAAAGAGAAAGAGGGGTATTTATAGGGGATTAACTAGGTTAAATATGGGGGGAAATCAGGCAGAAATTCCAATTCAAAATTCAAATTCAAATTCCTTTTTCACTGGATAAAACTGATAAGCTGTCAATAGTACCAGTTCAAACGGTAAATTGAAAGGAGCCGTCTGATTGTGAGAGAAGGACGGACAAGGCTAGGAGATCTCTCCACCTGGCTTGGTTTGAGAATATTATGTACGAGAGGATAAAAAGAGAGGGAGAGAGCACGCGCTGGGCTGCTGCTCGCGATTTGCTGGGCTATTCCGAGTTTCTGGGTTTTGGAATTTTTTGGTTACTGGGTTGTTCGCGAGGAAGAAGAGAGACTCAGGGGTCGGCATGTGTTGCTATACGTATTGTTGGTATGGGTATTGAAATGGGTTTATGTATGGAGAATGGACTGTTTTGGTATGTTGTGTGTATTGTTGTTTGTGTTGTATTGGTGGGCTAGGATTTAATTTGAGAAAGAGAGAAGTAGGCTGGAAAAATGAAAAAGACCCAAAAATGGGTCTTACAAAGAGTTGGAATAAATTGTTTATGTGTGGCTAAAATTGTAATTAAATAATAGCCCAAATAAATTTCAATTGTAACAAAATCGAACTCAATCAATGAATTTGGTCAAAACTTAAACAAGACGAATTAATATAAATTAATTAACGAGCTTCTTATTTTTTAACAAAATAAAATAATTAACCTAAGTATAAACTAAATAATTTAAAATATAAACTATTATATAACTAAACTAATTAACCAAATATTTAATTACAACAAAATCTTTTTGAGATGATTTTTGAATAATCATAAAATATAGTAATTATATATATAATTATGTAAAACATATATATTATCTAAAAATTATAAAAAGTGACAAAACTATTTAAAATAACTTGCAAACTATATTATTATTATTTTTGTTGAAAATTTTATAAAACTAATTATTTTAAATCATTTGGAATTTAAGAAGCTCGACGATTAATTTATATTGTAGAGGTCCAAAATTGGGTGTCAATAACTGTCCCTCGTTTGACTTGGATTGATGGAAGAAATTCGAGGCAAATGAAATTGACGAATCCAATTTTGACCGACCACATCTTCATCCTTCTGAAAAATGGCTTTGGTACGGACTTTAGAAATTATGGCCGAACCCCGAAAATGGGTTTTCCTACATATCTCAGGCTATATGAAAATTCAGGCCACTTGTAGTTCGATACACTCGATTTGACGCACAATTTTGAAAAACTCAAAACTCATCCCGATATCAGATTATGAAGAGACCGAAATGCTCGCAATAAGATTTAAGAGCGGATGTTGGAATACAACCGAGTTTTGAAGACTGAGCTCACCTATATATCCTTAAACATTAGGAATCAGGCTACCTGTAGTTCAACTTGATCGGTAGAAAAGAAAATCTATTATGCAAGATAACCTTTGGCTCTGAAAGAGTGACAAAATAAGTCGAGTATGAAAATGAGGCTTGCAACCTCTTAGCCATGAATGCGGAGCTCTTCACATCCATAAGTAAGAACTTACACAGACATAATTTACAAAGCTCTTAGTGCATTTTCACTCGGATTGGAAAGTTGCTCCCGGCGAAAACAAATTTTTTTCGGATGCAAAACTGAGACCGATAAACCTAAAGAAAAACCCGAATGCCTTCTGATAGGGGTGTGGTTTGATTGTGGTGGAAGTCGCTCCTCAACTCCCGTCCTAAGAGTTTGATACTCCTCTTTGGACTATGTCCAGTTCGCTACTAAGAAAAAGTTCCACGTTGTGCTGCATCCTTATTGATGTCGTCCGCACCTGTGGTTTGATTTGAGAATTCATCCTCTTGGATGCTCTCGACAAAGACTGAAATAAACTTGTTAGTAGAAACTGTAATTGGAAAAAATGCTAGCATCTCCTACGATGCTTTTCAATTACTCTTGCTTTGAAAGACGTCGTATAGATATGTTTAGTATATGTCTGCACACTCAAAGTAAACAATTAGTAAAGAAAGATCATTCATGTAATAAAAGAGTATATCTTTATGGATAAGCATAAACATCTTTTCAACTAGATGAGAAAACTTTCATAGGGAACGAACAAATAAATTGAATAGTATAACCACTCATCTCATAATTATCAAATAACAGATTGTGCCAGAAATCTTTTCTTAACTCTTACTCCCAATACAAGAAAGCAGATTAAGAAGACAAAATTTGGGTATCTGCAAAATCATCATATATTCATCTATATCTATATCTATATCTATCTATCTATCTATACTACCTTAAAAGCATGAACTCCTAACTTGAATGTTATATTACTATAATATCCCTAACTTAGGTTGTGACTTTTTCGATGAGTTGTGACTTTTTTGATAAGTTATGACTTTTTCAAAGGGTTGTGATTTTTCAATGAGTTGTGAATTTTCCAAAGTGTTGTAACTTTTTCAATAAGTTGTGACTTTTCGAAAGGGTTGTGACTTCTCGGAATGGTCGTGACTTTTAAGATAAGACACAAAAAATAATTGTTCATACTACCCTTTATTGACTATAAAGAGAGGGATTTCCTCTCAGTTTTCAACCACAAGTTTTTTTAATCTACTACTCTTCTTCTTCTTGCATTTTAAAATTTTTTGTGCGATTATTGTCGTTGATTGAGTTCAAAGTTTAGCAGAATATGAGGTACCACTATTCTGATGAAGTAAATTGTTCTATCCTAACACGGTATATTCCTTAACCTCGGGTACTTGCGGAAAATAATTTTGATGATATGATAATTAATTTTTTGCTTAGTGTATACATTAGTATGTAATGTTCCAATTTATGAGGTTAACGTGATATAGTCTAAATTCATTTGTTTTTGTTAACAATTTCTCTTGTGATATAGATATATGCTTCTGAATATCTTTTTCAGAAATTATTAAACTTCTCAAGAGTTAGAGAATTGTCAAGATTTATTTTTTTGATGCTCAAGGCAAAATAATGACTTTATTTATCAATACTATTTATGTGATTTAGTGTAACGACTTGTTCCTGTCGTTATAGAAAAGCCAACGGGGGAAATTTGGATTTTCCCAACCTAGTCCAGATTTGGACGAAATTAGAGTCTTTGAGGTGTAGGAAAATCTGGTAACAATCGGATGAATCATTTATGATTTTGATTGCATGAGTGGTTAGATAACTCGTTAAGGAATCCCTATGACTTTATGGAATTGAATTCGGGCGAGTAGAATTTTTGAAATTGATCTTAGCGTAAGGGGTATTTTCTGAGTGTCGTGGGTTAGAGGTGTGCTGTGAAATTGGGATTTTGGAATTCTTTAATTAGATCACTTTCTCACGTAACCCGCTTTCGCGCTGGGTTTTGCCACTCTGGAGGGCCCGCTACAGCCGGGTGACGGCTGCTGTGGCGGGCTCGACGCGACTTAAGGTCGTTAATAAACCCCTAAACAACCTTATTTGGCACTTTTCGATTTTTAGAGCTAAGGAACGAACCCCAGGTGACTCCTACTCGTTTTTCACCATTCTTGAGGCTTAAGGAAAGCTTTTCACTCCCCAAATTTGATTTTCGATCCGTAGAACATAATAGAATGGGTGAATATTGATGGGGGAGGGTTTTGCAATAGATTCTATGGTGGAAACAACTTAAATTTGGATAATTGGGATCATGGGTTTGATCTAGGGTTCATATAATTGTTAGTTATTCGAGTAATTAGTGATTGTTTATTGATTCCCATATTATATTGATTGTTTATAGACCAAGAACTAGCGGAACGAATCCGAAAAGGGAAGGATCAAGTTTCTTAGGGTTTCAAGCTTGTTTCGAGGTAGGTGATAGTTGTGATTCTATGATTGTGTGATGTATGGTTGTTCTTGCTTCACTATGATACTTGTATATGTATGAATGTTGCAATGTTGATCATATTTGTTGTAAATGAGATAGATGAATGATGATTGTCATGAAATCATGACTTAAATATATGATCTTGATGATATACTTGTATATTGTTATTATGGTGTGTTGAATAGATTGGTTGCCATGTTCCGGCTTAACTAACTTGGATCGGTTGCCACGTTCCGACATAACTATGGGATCGGTTTTCACGTTCGGCATAATTATGGGATCAGATACCATGTTTCGGTATGCTAACTGTTTGGGTTTAGGTTCCATGAGAGGACCAATGATTTGATATAAAAAGTGAAGTTGTTCGTTGTTCGTAATTGTTGATAATATTATATATATATTGATATATATGCATGTGATTCTAATGTTTTCTTGACTTGCTTATGTTGCACTTAGTGGGATAGCCGTGTGATCCTACCAGTACACTGTGATTGTGTACTGATACTGCACTTGCTCTTATTTTATTAAGTACAGGGCATCTTCAAGCGGCTACTAACAGACCTTGCTTAGGAAATCAACGATCATTGTTTGAATTTAAGGGTGAGCTAATTCTTCCGGGCTTCCATGGTTTCTCTTTCGTCTTTGTCCAACATTTCCAGACTTAGACTATTTTCTAGTTAGTTATTAGTTCATTAGTAGGGGTTGTAATCCTTCTTGTTTAGACTTGATTCATTGTTAGATGTTTTGGTACATTGACTTTCAGGTTCTAGGCATTACTTCCGCATTGTTAGTTTATTTTTGTTTGACTTTTGTTGGAGTTTATGGGAACTCCTTATTTATTTCCTTAGTATTTAACTTGCTTCCATAACTTAAATGCCTTAGTTTTGGTTTAGTTGCTGGGTTTGAGTTGTAGTAGTGGTTCTCCCACCGGAGGGTTAGTGTGGGTGTCAATCACAACGGTCTAGGTCGTGACATTTAGATTGTCAGAAAGTTTGCTTCAAAATAGTTATTACTATATAAACATTGCCCTTTTGTTTTACTGATTTACTATTTCTTAATATTTAAGATTTTCGACGAAGAAAAGTTTATATGACTTGTAATAACGC